ACAGTGTGGGGGCATCACGGGGTGGTGATGACTAAGATAACTTTTGTCTTTAGTATTGCTTGGAAGGAAGCATTCTGTTAGACTTACTGATATGCAAGGCTGAGGTGAAGCACCTGTTAGACTTGAGGCTGGTGGGTGCAAAGGGCATAAGGACAGCAGCAGCAGCACTTCTGCTCAAGCTGTGCCATCTCCTGTTCAGCTGAATCCCACCCCTTACTGTAGGAGCTCTTGGCAGTGTTGATCAAGCACCATAAGCTGCAGTGCTCCCAACCAGGGCTCCTGTGTAGCCCTCTGAGAGCCAGGCTTCTGGTACTGCCAAAGATGAGGTGGTTTAGAAACTCAGGCCTTCAGCTTCTCCATCTGTGGAAGCTTACACAGCTATCGTTTGTCTTATTGTTGGGCTGAAAGCCTCCTGTGCTGTTACTGGTGGAGCTTCTTCACAGGCTTCCCAGTCTAAGGCTTGTGCAGTTGGTTTTGTATTCTACTCATGGTGTTGAACTACTGCTACTTGAAACCCTGGCAAGACACTGAGACTCTTCACCCAATAAGTTTTTTTTTGTGGACACAGGTGGATTGAAAATGGAAAATAGCTATTGGTCACCCTTCCTTTTCATTTATTCTGTTTTGCCACTCAGCTGCTTCCAGTAGGAGTCATTTCTGAGGAAGAAGTTGCATGAAGGAGAGGGCAGTAATGTAGTTCACTGGTTCCAGAAGAGTGGGTTGATCTCGGCTTGGGGAGTCGAAGAAGGCATTTCCTGCAGGGGAATTTGGTAGCCAAGTGAATGAGTATCGGCAGCGCCAGAAGGTGGGAAAGGGCTGTAGGAAAAGAACGAGACTGTATGTGGTGTGATGATGCATAAGCAGCAGAGATGACTGAACCTGAGTGAAGAAAGACAGAAAGCAGTTGGCCTGGTCTGTAGGTGATTCAGGTAACTGTGCCTTAGTTTGCACAAGCTGATGGAATATTTCTTTCCTGATTAATCTCTTGTTAAAGCAGAATGGGATGAGTGAATTTGGAGGAGAAGCATTGGCTCTCTGTTGGCATTGAGGACATGTATTGGAAGAGGTCATTGGAAGTGGTCATTTTTATTCTCACTGACCCCTTTACGTGGGGGCAGTACTTACGGGCAACAGCATCTCCTGAGCTGCTGGTATCTCTGTTGTGATGGAGCTCTTGGAGTCTGGTTCCTCTGGAGCTGGGAGCTGGTGCCAGGTAGAGACAGGAGGGTGACCAGATACAAGGAGATGACATGGTCATTGGGTCTGGATGCCATCTGTGTGTCACGTACTACAAGAAGCCTGGATTGCTGTGCTTCCACAATAGGAAGCAGTAAGCTCACTGAAAAGTCAAACCAGAATGCAGATGCACTGCAAATGCATTCGTGAGGCTGTTTATCAATATTAAATGTGTAAACCAGAAAGGTCAGCAGTGTTTAATGTCATGTGGCAGCTCCATGATTTTAATTACAGTGAAAAACCCAATGACAAATGAATTCAGTGCCCCTGTTCCTCCCTGCTGCAGTTTGTTTTGTTGGCTTACCTGTGCTCTGGGAAAGTTTGACTGGATCAGCTATGGTAGGAGATTTTATTTATGGAAAATGGGATAAAGGGACAAATCGCTTACTATGTTTGACTCACTGGGGAATTCATTGTAGCTTAATGTTTCAAGAGCACCTTGTTACAGTGCTCGATAGCAAGGTTGCAGGCAGAATCACAGCAAGTACTGCAAAAGGCTTGTTGCATCTGGCCTTAAATTAGAGTGACTGACAGTTGGTGCCTCCCTGTTCGTTCCTATTTTATATGCAGTTGCAGGTATCTGGGATAAAGAGGGATAAACTTCAGTTTCTTTGCTTTCAGGTTCTTGTTATTTAAAATCAGGGCTGCTCTCTTGGTTTTGTTGTTTGCTTGGCTCCTTTACATTCAGCTTCTAAAACTCTTCCTTGATCTTTTCCCAAGCTGTTCTCAAAATGCACTCAGCAGGATCTTTCTCCTCATATAACATTCCTTCAGTTTTTAGCAGTAGTTAATCACTTTGGGTGTTTAAAATTTATTGTTAAAGAACTGCCTGCTGTAGAAACCTGACTTTTAAATGAGAACCCTGCAGACGGTTTGTGCTTGAGCTCCTTTTCTTGCAGCTGAGGACCAGTACATGTGCTGGGGCTTCTTTTCCTCTCTGAACGTGTCCATACCTGTGTGGCTGTGGTTTCAGCTTTGCAGGTGGGGGCAAGGTCTTGCCTGCCCTGTCTGGGTATCTGAGTTCCTCTGGCTTGTAGTTCATTCTCAACAGCAGTGCCCTTATGTCACTGGGTGACACAGGCTGTGGCTGACTATCCACAGCAGCAAAGCACTGTCAGACTGAATGTGTCCATTCCTTGCTGTTGTAGAGGCAGCATTACAGGTAACCCTGAAATGTTCCCTGAGTGCTGCAACAGTTTATAGCTATGCTGTTCATCTTGTACCCATCAAAAAGCTGGCTGTGGCAAATAAGGGTAGAGCTTTGGTTTCAGTCTGGTGATACTCTGGAGGTTCTCAGCTGATGATAAGCTCAGCTGAGTTAAAGAGGTCCAGTTACATGTGTTTCTGTGCCTATTTAAAAGATACTTCTTTTCCTGAATGTAGTATCAATAGAGGTTCCTGTACTTTTTCCACTTCACTGGCAGCACTGCCCTTGTTTAACTCCAAATAAATCTTAGTAACATGTGCAGCCCAAAGACGAGGGGAGAAAATTAATCTCTAGATCAGGAGCTACAGAAAATGAAATGAATTATGAACAGAAGAGGGAGGGTTGTTTTTTTCCCCTGTATCTATTGTTCAAGCAAAGGGAAACTGGCACAGAAGAGTCAGTGATTGGTGGTAGTGGTTTGGGGTTTTTCTCTAAATTTAAATGAAAGGAAAAATTAAAACTTTTCTAGATTGCCCCAGTAAGACCAAGCAAAGCATAAGCAGGTAAGAGAAGTAACATCCCTGTAGGATTCATCCAGCATTGCTGAGATTCTTCCTTTTACATTCAGCTTCAGTGGAAAAGTGGTGGTGGGGCAGTTGGGGTTTGGTTTTTTCCTTGCCACAGATATGGTTAAAAGTCACAGCATAAATTTCCTGACTTGGTTAAAAGCCTGTGACCCCTCTCAGTTGTCTTGTTCATCAGACGGCAGATAGGTAATAAAGAGTCTCCTGTGTGAGAGGAGTGGGGAGAACCTGCTGGTTTAATTTTATTCACAGCAGTGGGCCAAACTTTGTTCTTTCGGTGCTGGTCTTGATAATTGGCTCGATATAATATAGGAATTCAAGGCATTACATAGCTCTGGCTTCATGACAGCTAATGGCATAGCCAAGAAGAGGGCAGTTTCCTGCAGGAACTTACAGTAACTAAACCAATGAGCATGTTCCAGAGAACATACAGGCAGTGGTTTCAACAGGCCTCAGCTCAGCCTTGGTGACTTAATTTGTGTCCAGATTGCCTGGACAAATGGATTTTGCTGGTTTAGACTCCATGGGGGGTATGGGTTTGATCTGGGAGACTTTCTGGACTTAGTATTATGTTCATGTTTCTGACTGCTGGGAAGCAGAATTAAGGAAGGTGTCCTCTCCTTTTGGGAGGGAACAAGTTTCCTTAGCTTTAGGGGTTTGTTCGTATGTGCCCTGCCTTTACAGTATCCCAAATCCTGCTGTGCCCAGACATACGGCACCGTTTTGTTTTACCTCTGGCCACCTGCAGCTCTCAGCCACAGCTAAAACTCATTTACCTTGTTTTTCACAGACATCCTCGGCTTTATTCCTTGTCTTCAATGAGGTTCTGACACCTGTTAAGTGCTCCTCCTCCCTTTTTTTGGAGAAGAATTTAATTATGACAGGGTTTCCCTTGGAGCATATCCTCCATTCAGTTCCCTAATTGTAGAAGTCTCTGTGGGATTCTCCAGATGGGGGATAGAGGATAATCTTCTCAGAGCTCCGGAAGAAATACGATGCCAAATTACAGAAAATAGATCCTTTTTATTAAGCTCTTGGGCTCCTTTTATTTTAAGGTGACCTTCTGTTAAAGAGAAATGTTGGATAAATGGCTATCTTTTTTAAATAATCCTCAACAACTTTACCTGGGTTACTAACAACATCCTTAGATTAGGAATCCTGAAAGGATTTAAGCTTTGGCCACTCATACTGCCATCACGGGGGCAATGAATGAGCGGAATGAACTCACCGGTTTCCCTTTGGTTTTAGTTGGTCTCATTTTTCCAGCTGTGAACTCTAAGGGAGTTTGCTTGGTGTGGCAGGTAGGTATAAAGACAAAGCCCTCTCCTTTGTCGTGGTCACAGGGCCGCTTGATGGGTCACTCACTTCCCTGTGAGCTGGTGCTGTGGCAGTGCAGTTTCAACCCCTCAGGGGTTTCCAGGCATCCTAAAAATGCTACTCAGTAGCACTGATGTTTGCAAACACAGCAGTGCTGCTGTCCTGGTCAAATACTGCCCCAATCTGGTTCTTTTAAGTTTGCTAGATCTAGTGTGTGACTGCTGAAGGGCTCTAGGGGTTGTCCTCACAGAGCAAATGCAGCAGGAAGGCTCCCATGTATTTGATGTGCTCCATGAGCTCCTGTGTTAACAGCCGATACCAAGAGTTTTACACGGTGAATGGAGAAGCAAAAGCATAAAGAAACACAACAACAGCCCTGTAGTGAGTTGGTGGGAGAGCCAGAAACAGTCTGGAAATGGCTGACTCTGGTCCCCTCTTCCCATAATTGTCTCTCTGAGATTTTGGGTGCATTTAAGTCTCTAGGGAGCACTTTCTGTAGCACCAGTAGAAGTGCCAGCTTTGCACATAGCAGATTAATACCGGAGGGGAAGGATCTTGTCTGCAGGGAGGCTGAGGTTATAGCTGTAGATCTGAACATATGTAGTTGCTTGGCTTTAGGCTGGATGTGCCACAGGGGATGTGTACAGCTTGCAGCAATTGAACTTTGATGCTGAGAGGTCAGAGGTGGCTAATCCAAATTTTTGTTTGTCTTCCAGGTCTACGCACAATGAACTAGAAAAGAATCGGTGAGTAGCTGCTGAGCTGGATTCTGAGTGTGATGTGCTTTAACCTTACACATGCAGGTGCTGCTTGGTCAGCTTAGGCAGCTGTGAATGGCCACACTGCATCTTGTCCTCTTAAAAGTCGGGGGGAAGACACAAAAGGATCTGAAAAAGAAGCCTTGGTTTTGGTTGTTTTTATTTCCCTCTGAAAAGGCAAGAAGTGACCCAGTTTTGTGACTAATCTGTATGCAGAGTAAATACTCTGTTCTTCTCCTGATACAGTGAAATCTGATTGGGGCACTTTCCATGCATGAGGTTGCTACGGAATCAGGTTTCTTGGGCCCTGGGTAACACGTGTTACCATGAACCGAAGGGCAGAGCTCTGTGCTCTATACCCTCTCCCTGCTACCCCTCCACTGGCTGTGACAGTCACTGTGTGCAGGAGGAAAATACCATTGTCCAGAGGCTTGGAGGTCCTGTGGAGACTCTTTTCCAACCTTTTTTAGGATTGTGCCTGTTTATCCTTGAATCTGAAGTTCTAGCAAGCCTTGCAGTTTTGTTACTTGGCTGGCTCTGCTCTATGACTCAACCCTTTTGTAACAGGAGTTAAAGTAAGATAAATACCATTGAGACAAGGGGAGCTAGTTCACACACAGATCAGATTATTGCCTTCTATTCAGGATGCTATAGTTAAGGTTGTGGCAGGGTTTCCATTATAAACTTATCTTGGCTCTTCTGTGGGATTTTAGGGGGGCTGAGTGGGGGTGTCTGTGGTTTTTGTGCCTGCTGGAACAAAGGCATTTCTCTGGCCAGCTGCTGCTATGAAGAAACCCCCAGGGTGGGAAAGCTGTTTAAATAGGTTGATTGCCTCCTCTTCCCTCTTAGCAGCCATCATTTAACAAGGGTTGCGAGGACTGTCCCCAACAAGGGATGGACAAAGATACACAAAGGCTTCAAGCCATGCGGGTATCTCCATTCAGACAAGATCTTTGCATTTATCTTCCAGGGAGTCAGAGCTGAGTGCTTCATGCATCATGTTGCCCTCAGTTTTGCACATGTGCCTCCTCCAAGGCAGCAGCAGCTCTGGGAAGCAGCTCTGCCTTTGCATGGTGTGGATTGTTTCTTTCAGGCTGTGTTTCTACTTCCTGATAGCTTTGAGGGTCTACAGAGTTGTCATGGTCCTGTCTTTCCAGGGAGGTTTTTTGTTTAGGTTATGTTGCTCCCCAAGTCTCAACCTTTGCAGTCCTAAATTAAGCAGTGCTGAGAACTGTTGGCTCCTGGGTTTTCCAGTGCTCTTTACAGTTTTATTTACCAATGAGGGAAAGAAAATGCAGTGCTTGGGGCTGACCCAGCACGGAGGGTGCTTTTTTCTCCATGACAACAGTAAGCCGTCACTAATTCTCAGTGTGCTTATTTGCATGTCTAATTGTTACTGCAAATGCTGCTTGCCCTCAGTGCAGCTTTAGAGCAGAGCTGTCTCTATCTTTCCCTGTACCAACCTGGTCCTCTCACACTGCCCAGGTTTGCTTGGGTATGTGACCATTTTTTTTCTGCCCTGAGGCTTGTGGCACAGGCAGTGAAGCTTCAAACTGTGTGGGTGAGATGTTGGCAGCTTGAGTTACATATGTATTGTCCAGCTAGGGACTGGCAGGTATTGATGGGTTTAGGATATGTCTGATAGCAGCTAGCTGTGTGAGCTGAGCTGCCTTGATTCTGTGTCCTTAACTGAGGGCAGTAATACTACCTGGGGTGGGGATATCATTAGAATTTACTACTGTCCAGCACTTTGTTATATATGTTACTAGTGAGAGGGGTATTACTACTTGTGCTTCCCCTTCTGCCACTGTTTTCTGAATGTTGACAAGCTCTTTGCTTGCTATGAATTAGTCTTTGTATTACAGTAGGTATAATCTCTTTCTCTTCCTTTCCTTCCATCTCAGTTATGCTCCCTAGTCCCCACCTGCTCCAGGCTGAAGTCTCCTAACCATCAGTCTCCTCAGCAAGGTCTTTTCTCCAGGGCTTCCCATTCCAAGTCACTGTATTCCAGGTCTGTGTGTCAGACATGGTTTTACAAGCCCTTGGTTTTCATCCTTCTGGGAAGGGCACACATGTGATCACATTGGGTGGTCTGTCCAGGCAAACTGCTGTATCTGGGATATTTGTTTAGGAGCACGCTGCTTCTGGTTTGGGATTGTCTGTCTCTTAATGCAGGTGCTGTGGCCTGATCAGCTACACACCTCTGCAAAGCCAGCTAGGCCCTGCCATGGCTGTGCTGTGGTTGCAGTGGTTATTACCAACAATTTGGACAGGGAGTTTCATATTGGAAGCATTTACTGTCAAACTCCAAGCAGTGTTTCTGAGCTGAGGGGATTGCTTCCCAGTTAGATTTTCACCATGTTTTATTTGCTGTATCGTTAAGTTTGTCAGTGTCTCCAGACTTAACTGTTGCAAAGATAAAAGCCTTGATAGTAATGGCTTTGTGGCTGGCAGGTGCTCATTTCCCCTATTATTTGAGATTATTCCTTTTGAACCTCACTGTTATCTCCATTATTGACACACACTGTAATTTTCAAAATTGTCCACTATTAGGTCTCTGACTCTGGTTTTTCCCTTCTTGTCTGTGAACAGCAGCCTGCTTATGTTCAGTTCAATTTGGTTTTAACCCATTCAACAGTTACACAGAGTTTCTTTCAAACACTAGCAAGAGAATAGCAAAAAACCAATTGCTCCCCTCCTCCTTCCTGAATGTGTTATTTAACTCGCCCTCAATATTGCAGAGCTGCTGACGTTTCAATGTAGCATGATTAAGAATCTTGTGCCCCTTTGATGTTGATAAGTAACTAAAAACGTATTAAAAAACCTAAAGCCATGTTTTAAGCTCTCCTCTTTTTCTTGGTCTTGAAACATTTCATGAACACTCCAGCGGTTCTGCTAAGGAGCTGTTTGATTTGGTACCAAATATTAGCTCTTAATATTTAAGTGACTTCACTTTCTGCTTTGATTTGTTGGGGTTTTTTTTGTTAATCTGAAAAGATTGCAGTGACATTTATATAAGGGGCTTTGTTTGATTTATAAAAGATTAAAGTTAATTTATAGTTATTATCTGTCATTAATCCTCATACTGGAAAATTGTTTGCGTTTTTTATTTAATGGATATGTGTTTTGGTTTATCTCTACCCAGGATGAGTCAGAGCATGTATTTAAACAAGAAAACAGCATTTTGCTTCTCATCTGCTGCAAGGCCATAACTAAAACAATACTTTGGAGTCCTTTAACAGGCCCAACAAAAAACTGCTTTGTAAGCAACGCCGCATCACTTTATAAAAGAAAACATGATAAAGCAAGTGACTGAAAGATGAACTTTGGTAGTGTCATATATTCTTTAAAAAGGATAATAAAATTCAGGCTTAAGTTAAATGGTGTGTGTTACACAGATAGCAGAATGAACTGTTGTCTGTGAACATTTCAGGCACACGCCAGTTCTGGAAGGATGTGGTCAGTGTGCTGTTAAGTCACTGCGATGACTTCCCTGTTGCTCTGTGAAGTGGCAGTTCTGGTAGACCAACGTAGTGGTATTATCTGTCAGAGAAATTACATCTCCTGATAGAACAAGAAGGATGTTTAGAAAGCTATTGGTCAGATTAAAAAGAAATAGTGACATGAATGTTTTTCTGTATATCCTCAATTTATCTATTTGGTTTTGGTGGTGATTGCACTGTAATACAGCAAAAGGAAGGAAAACAATGCTGAGTAATTGGGTAAAGAATGAGTTATTAGAACATCAATTTTCTTATGGTAACAATAATTTAGTTCAAACAATTGAGAGATCTGAAGAGGGAAAGAGACCTTGGGAGAATCACTGGAATATGAGCTTCTGAAGATACCACAGAACCTGTGTCTCTGCAAAACCACCTCGTTTAAAATGACAAAGGACAAAGTCCAAATGAGACAAAACTTTTAGACCAAATTGCTAAAGAGTTGTGTTTAATGTAAAAGCACAGAGTGAAGTGGTGCAATATCCTCTCTGGTGTCTTTTGAGGTGATCAGAAACAAAGTGAAGGCAAAACACATCATAGTGAGTACTGTGGTTTTCAGCCTTTCTGACTCTTACCGGGATCCCTTGCCTATCTTTTGTGATCTCTTTAACGTGAGAGGCTGTTTATTGCACTGTTTCTCTCAGATGGTTTCTCATGCAGTGCTGAGGTAGCATATTTTAGGTAGCAGATGAGATAAAGGAAAAACCCTACTGAAACCCTACATTTAGGAGAAAACCATGACCTGGGTCAGCTTGCACTGAAACGTGGGGCCTTCTGAGGCTCTGCAGCACAGTTTGGTTCTGGTTTTGCAGAACAGGGACTTCAGTGTGTCTGTTAACAAAGTGCAAGAGGAGAAGGAGGGGAAAGCATTTAACATTGAGCACTTAAATAATGCAGACATGCTATCTAGGCTGGGAAAGATAGAGGGAAGGGAAATGAAAGTATAGTGAATCCTTGCTACTCTGAATAGACATGGATAATTGTGCTTTTGTAGTGCTGTATATACTTGCCAAGGCAGTCTGATCAGTGTTTGTCTTGAACCAACTAATCAATGTGGTGTTGAGTTCAGTGCTATTTATCAGGAGAGCTGAAACAAGGAACTAATCCAGTAAATTTCATTTGTTCTCTGGAGTGGGCTTTGTTTTCATGTTAGCTTCATGTAGCAAACATTGACAGTACATATTGTTTTCCTCATTAATAACACTTGGAACCTGTGGTGTTCCCTGCAGTCAAACCACGTCCGAGAGAGCTGAGCATGCATCTTTCTTTGACTCATCCAAAGGTCAGAGCATGCACTGATCCAACTGATCGTTGTGGGATTTCTAGCTAAATCTCCTATCTTCATGGCCAGTGTGGATGAAGAGCCGGAGGTAGCTAGCTGTCTTTAACTCTGTTGCTGTCATGACAGATGCCTCTGTTTTCAGCTGGGACTAATAGTTTTCAGCAGAGCTGAAGTGTGTTCTACTTCAGGAGATGTGGATAACTTAT